CGGCGGAGGACCCGAAAGATACTATAAAACGCCTAGGTCTTAGATCGGGACAACGAGATCGCTTGTTCAGACAGCCAGAAAGGTACATGACACGCCTACAAATAAGCGTGCGTCAAGTTCCGACAGCGGAAGGCCCTGGAAAGCTCTACTTTCCCCATGGTCTCCCGGCATCGACACCAGGCAGTCGGGAAAAAGAAGCTAGGTCAGGAAGCATCAAACGATGGTTAACTTCCCTTCCAGCCAACGCAGTCTGTGCCTTCTCTGATGGATCCTCGTCGGGTCCCGGGCAATCAGCTTGGGGTTATGTGGTATACCAAGGAGGCAAACTAGCTGGAAGTGGCTCGGGTCCGCTTCCCGGAGCAGAGGTATTCGACGCAGAAGTTGTAGGCGCTATGAAAGCCTTGGAGGCTGCACTAGCGGTGGGAGAAGGCTTTCCGGTCAGCATTCTTCTGGACAATCAAGCGGCCGTCAGAGCGCTCGAACAAGGAAGATCCAATTCCTCGCAGACAGTGGTGGACAAGTTCTCATCGCTGAGACATAATAGGCGTGTAGAAATACACTGGATACCTGGTCATGTGGGGATCCAAGGCAACGAAGAAGCCGATAAGCTGGCCAAATCAGCCCTGGGAGATCTCAATGACCAATCACTAACCTCAGCTTCGCCCAACGGAGACGAGCAAATTCTGACCTTTGCGGCTCTAGGGAGACTAGTGAAAAGGCGGAGCCAAAAGCTTGTGGAAGAGTGGTGGCAGAAGTATCGGCCTAAACGATACAAAGATCTCGACCTCTACATGCGCTGCAAGCGACCGCCGGAACTGGCTCTGCCTCGATGGGCGTATCACCGTCTTATTGCGGCAAGAACAGGCCACGGGGACTACGCCGACTACCACCGGCGTTTCAACCCCGAACATGAAGATCTGATGTGCATTTGCGGCCGAGAGAAAAGGCCCTGGCATTTTTCAGAGTGCCGACCTGCTCTGCAACGTTGGAGAAGCTGTGAGAAAATGACTCCACCTGGGGTCAGGGAAATGATAGGGGAGAAGGGATGGCAGAAGTTTTTCCAATTCCTAACCATAAGCAGATGCTACAGTCTGCCGAAGAACTGACAGGGTGGGAGTGACCATGCTGAGATAGTTTCTGGCTCGAGAGGAGAGGTGTTTGGAAGATAGGGATACGGTGCAGGGCACCGTAACTCAGACATTTGCTGTGATTTTATTTTTCTTTTGTCGCTTCTGGCTTTAATGCCGGTCATGTAGGTAGCAATGAGCTCGTAGGGCCCATCTACCCGTGTCACGTCTAAATAGATGTTGGGTTCGTCCTGTCACGTTAAAGATTTCAAATTCAAATTCAAATTCAAATCTCTCCACGTAATCCTATATCTTTTTTTTTTTGCATCAGATTTCAATTGCGTATGCAGCTATCTAGCTATGACACAATATCAAAGAAAAGTACAGAATAGATAATTCAACGTAAAGAGCACTCATGCCTCAGATTTCATTTGCAAGTACCACTGCGAAGTTATGGCGGCTTTTTCTTCACCCCAAGTCAACCCTCATCCGTGAATACCCGCCCAGGGAAACGTCTCAAAAACCCTGAGTTATCCAGACATGCCTCAATCATCTTTCAACTTTTCTCCGCGCGAAATATGGTCTGAGATGTCTCCTTCCCAAGTGGAATAGGTGCATAGGTCACTCAGACTATACCTGAGAACACCATCAGGAGGCGGACCACGACACCTTCCATCGTTGGCTTGTATTTATAGTGTCAGCTGCACTCTCGCTAACAAATTCTTGACGCGCACAAAGCTCAATTCGTAAAACTCTTGCCAAAATTCGGAATTTCACGCCCTTCGAGGTTATATCCTTCCTTTGCATCATCTTGTCAGCTTGTCCTGATCCCTCCCACTTCCATCCCAAAGAGCTGTCTCCCAGATTTGTGCGCCACGCTTTGCTTCCTCCGTCGGGCGTAAATATCGGCGTGGGCGTGTATTTGGTGGTCAACTGAGACCAGAGAAGGTCGAAGAGAGGTGTGTTCATTGGAATGAGGATGTACTTGGTCGTACTTGTAGTCTTGATAAGACTTAGGTAGGAATCTAACTCGTTGGAAGCGAAAAAGCGACATGGAGTAATTTCAATTTTTGCCTCGTGGGCCAACTTGATCTGTATTGCGAAATTTGACTGAACTTGGCTCTGGGAGAATATTTCACTCCCAGGTTCGTAGGGAACACCGCGTACAGGTGTTCAGTCTTGGCCTCCTGGGATATCATTTTTCACTAGTAGAGTGAGTTCCAATGTGATATAGGCCTTCACATTATTGACGCAGGTGGTGGTTCCTGGGCTAGTCGGAATTTAAAGGGCGATAGTTCTTTACTGGCCTTCACAAGCCGGCAAGATTTTAGTTTGAGTTGTAGATAATGTGACCGACTGTCATAAATAGGATTCAGTTGATTACTTAGAATCTACAACTGAGGAAGAGAAGGGAGTATAATCAGATTGTGTACAATGTTCAAGCAACTTATTAACAAATTTATAGCCTGAGGCACCTTTGCACGTGACCGCACCCGAACCCATGCTTGTTTGTCACAATGTGACTCAGGGAAGCGGGCTATCCAAGTCGTAGATGGGGAGCGAACATTTTGAATGTTATCCTGAAAAGCCTGAATGGCTACAGACATCGCTCTTGTTGCAGCTTCCAGCGCCTTAAAAATAGCTTTAAGAGAGACTGCTTGTAGACAGTATTGAAGGCCTTTATTCACGGTACCGAAATTTCGAGGGACATTCTCTATCCTACAGGAAGTCAATGGAGATACACGATCAATTAGTGCACTTCCGAAAACGCCTACAGAGTTACTTTTTCTCCCGGATCATCTATATGGCCTGTGGTTGAGTAGAGTGCGAAGCCATTATTTGTCGGCAGAACATTGAAAAGCAGTTTGTTGTGCTCCCCAAGTCTAGTCTTTAGGAGTGCCTGCAATGCATAATCCGAGTAGCTGCGCCTCGAATGATTCATTAGATTTTTTGATTTTCATTGTCATAATGAATCTGTAACTATGTAAGGACATGTAGGGATTCTTAGATTAAACCAAGGTAATAATGGCCCCTCAGTCATTGACCTCGTAGAGCGCATCCATTCAAGCGCCTACCGATGCGAAATTAGGTGCAGGTTTTCTGGTCACGTGTGTGTCCATAACATGGGCAACCTGACAGCCCCAATCACTCCAACTCCTAATAGACTGGGTATGTTTACTCCTGAAATCGGTCTACGGCTGTCGAGGGCTGAGAAACTGACAGTATGTTGAGACAATGGCTTGTCTCATATGAAGCCCAGACAGAAGTTTGGCGATGTGAGGCAAGAATATAAAACTATTTCACTCGAAAATGGGTGTGGGAAAAGGCGATTGGAGGGCATGACTGAACACCTGTGCGCGGTGCCCTCTGCGAACCTGCGAGTGAAATATTCTCCCAGGAGAAAGTTCAGTCAAATTTCGTAACACCGAAGAAGTTGGCCCACAACTACAAGTACGACCCGCACATCCTCATTCCAATGACCACAGCTCTCGTCGAGTTTCTCTGGCCTCAGCTAGTCGCCAAATACACGCCCACGCCAATATTTACAGCCGACGGAGGAAATAAAGCGTGGCGCACATATCTGGGAGACTGTTATTTGGGATGAGCGTGAGAGAAATCAGGACAAGTTCACAATATGATGCAAAGGATGGATACAGTCTCGACGGGCGTGAAAATTCGAATTTAGTCAAGGAGATTTACACATTGAGCTTTGTGCGCGCCAAGGCTTCGATTGCTCGAGTGCAGACGACACTATAAACACCGCCATGGTTGTATTGTATGGTGGTATATCGTCTTGGGCGATCTTGCATGTAGAGTCTGGATAGCTTGGACACAAATTCCACTCGAGACAGGAGACTGCTGGTTCAAATCCGGCAAAACACAATCACATTTCCTGTGGAGATGGTATACATGGATGACGAAGGCATGCTCGGACAATCAAAGGTTTTGAACTTCCCTTTGGTGGGTACTTACGGAGGAGGGTCGACTGTTTGTGTAAGTAAGCATACCTCGTAGTGGTATTTGCAAATGAAGTCCAGACCAGAACTGTCTCTAACGTCAAAAGAGTCATTCAATATGTATATAAAGCACCGTTCATGTGTCATAGCTAAATAGCTGAACTATTAAATTTGGGAGGACTTCTGTCGCAGTATGACTGTATAGAAGACGATGGAATTAGCACAGTGGATTGAGGTCAGATAGAATCAGATATTCGAGTTAACTAAAAGTATACTAAGATCGAGACAGCCAGACTCCTAAGTACAAATTTTCCTCCACGCGACTGATCTGCATGAATAGCGTAATTGACGCGACTCATGTGTTTGACTCTGCCTGACTCGGATTGCCCCTGTAGCAGCTAGACACACCTTGTCATTTAACATGAACACATATTAAATCATTTGAAAAAAAAGAGCAATCTAACATTGAGAAATAGCAGTCATTGCATACCTCACATCTTATAGACTTCAGGGCCTCTAAGTGTGGAATAATTTTGGGCAAAGCCCTCAATGTCTATTGGAAAATATTGAAAATAAAGCTCATATAGAGACAAGTAAAATTTGGGAGAATTTTGTCTGGTTTTACCAGTCTTACATTGTCATAGATTCGGTAGGGACCTTAACTTAAATCTTTTCTATTTTTGTCTGGGATGGCTCGACTGCGTAAGTTGTCATGCTGGCTGAAGCAGCTTAGGTACGTTGTTAATCAGTTTTCAAGATGACTCGCAATCTTAATTTGCAAGTGGGGATGTTAAAGCAAAGCAGCCTCTTGGCTGATAAAATGATCTCTCTACAATGAAATAGAGGTCCCTAGGGAGATTAAATAGCAATCACGATGTCAAACATGCTTATAACAATTGATCAAGTTGCACCTCTTACAACGTTCGCTGTCCGATGTTACTAAAAGTCTCTCCAGCCAACGAAGTTTTAACCAAAGATGCATCTCACGTTCCTCTTTTTTATTTTAATAGTTAGATATTTCCATCAAGTCTTTGCAACAAATGTCCCGTTTTTGGATATGAACATCCCTGATGGTACTACTGGCTTTATTTGTGACATTCATTACTTTAAAATAAGCTATCTATGGTCATCCGCCCAAGGAGCGCTCACAAAGTTTCTACGCAGGTCTCCCTACCACCAATTCCCCGCATTCTTCGAGGACGCACACGCATTTGGTATCGCAGACCAGCTTCTACTTTCTTGGCCTCTTGTGATAAGTAACAAAGTATACACTACTGGTGAGCCAAAGCCTCACTTGATGCAAAAGAAGGACAAAGTCTCCAATTTTTTTATCAAAGATGATTATTTGTAGCTGACATAAAGACCAGGGGTAGTTGGAACTTATCGGGTAGTGATAAATGCCTTTGGTCAAATAATTGGTGTAATAGCCATTACCCAGCTAAATGACGTTCTCCAGAAACCGAGCTTTCGAAAATGTGCCCCGGTTCACGTTTCTGATGAGCAGGATCAGAACAACTCTATCTCAGAGGATCTTATATGGGATTATGTCTATCCCACAAAAGGATACATTTGTGACTTGAAATTTCTGGAAATCTCACAGGTTAATTATGCGCAGGAAATGATTGTTGACCCAGAATTCCAAAGAGAATTAAGGAACACCGGTTATCACAAGTACGTTGAAAATTACAATGGTAAGTTATTCACTGGAAGTGAACTACAGGCCTTCAAAATTCAAAAATTGGATAAATATGGCAAACTAAATGGTGACTATAACTCCGAATCAGCTCTTTTCGACCGCTAATTTTTTTTTCTAGGGAAGCCTGGATCATTTAGGATGATTTTTAATCTGGACCAGGGCTTTATGGGGATCATTCACGTAACTGATAGTGAACGTAAATGCGTGAAAGTTTGGGATCTCACAGAGTCGCCACACATGACGGATAATTCCTCAAACTCCCACGTATTTGATGGAAAAGTACCAGAAAAATACACCCCATACTATTGCTTGAGGCAGGTATATAAATTTGAATATATCAAACTCCAAGCAAATTTCTTCACAAGTCAACTGCATACAGTTTCAGGAAAAGATGAAGACATGTATCCCATTGTGCTTGGCCAAAACTTGATACTCTGGCCTCTGAGATTGCCAGAATCAAATTATCGTAAGCAACTCCATCTAAATATTCTTTCAATTGACTTACACTGAAATAAAGGTTTGAACTATAACCTTGCGATAGGGCTCAACCAAAGCGGGGGAACATTTAATATATACTACTCTAGGGCGAGAGGTGATTTTAAAATTCCTGAGCCATGTGGGATTGATTTCACAATATGACAGATTTTATGTTGTTTGCCCACTTAATTTAATTACGATGTGATGGGCGATTAAACCGCAATAACTTGTCGAAAAAGAGAATCAGATGCTTCATTTGGAAAGAGGTTTTACCGATCCTGCAAAAATTTATTGCACCATAAATAACTAGCTTACGTAATACGTTACTCTTTAGACATTAGAAATACTAATTTTAGGGACCTCACTCTCATATACTACTGTGAATTATGTCTGTTTATACTGAACAATGAACCCTGGTTTATGAAAACCGAATGTAGAGAGGGTTTAAAATATTGACCTTTCAGGTGGCCCTACTCTGAGTGTCGGATAGCGCGAAAACATTGGAGAAGAATGAAACAGGAAAGTACTACAGTCAGACCCCCGTTAAGACGATTTTTTTTCCAAAACGGACTTCGTTCCCATACATTTGCCGATTATACGGTTATCGTTCTTCAACCTCTGGATATCGTCTTAACCAGGGTATTTTTGCTAGATTGGTGCTAAAAATGCCGCCAAAAAAGGGAATTTCCGTGGAGCAACGATATTCTCTGTATGACGATATTTTTCACGGCCCCGGTTACATCGTCTTAACAGGGGTTTGACTGTAAGTGGAAGGTCTATTCTTCTTGCACCAGATTTTAATCGCGTGTGCAGCTAGCTAGGTATGACACACTATCAGCGTTGACGTGCAGAATATATGACACAATTTAAAATAGAGCATTTATGCCTCAGATCCCATTTGGTACTACCACTATAAAGTCATGGTAGCTTTTTCTTCACCCCAAGTCAACCCTGTTCCACGAATACTCACCTAGGGAAAATTTTCATAAACCCTGAGTTATCCAGACATGCCTTCATCATCTTTCAACTTTTCTCCGCGCGATATGTGATCTGAGATGTCTCCTTCCCAAGTGGAATAGGTGCATAGGCCACTCAGACTATACCTGAGAACACCATCAGGAGGCGGACCACGACACCTTCCATCGTTGGCTTGTATTTATAGTGTCAGCTGCACTCTCGCTAACAAATTCTTGACGCGCACAAAGCTCAATTCGTAAAACTCTTGCCAAAATTCGGAATTTCACGCCCTTCGAGGTTATATCCTTCCTTTGCATCATCTTGTCAGCTTGTCCTGATCCCTCCCACTTCCATCCCAAAGAGCTGTCTCCCAGATTTGTGCGCCACGCTTTGCTTCCTCCGTCGGGCGTAAATATCGGCGTGGGCGTGTATTTGGTGGTCAACTGAGACCAGAGAAGGTCGAAGAGAGGTGTGTTCATTGGAATGAGGATGTACTTGGTCGTACTTGTACACTTGATAAGACGAAGATAGGAGTTAAATTCGTTTGGAGCGAAAAAAACGAATTGGTGGAGTAACTTGAACCATTGCCTCGTGGGCCAACTTGTTCGGCAATACGAAATTTGACTGAACTTGGCTCTGGGAGAATATTTCACTCCTAGGTTCGTAGAGGACACCGCGCTTGATATCGCCTGTTTGGCTGGAAAAAGAATAGAAAGTGTTAGTGGCTCTATTTCTTTGAATCTAATATTTCTTGCCGGTGGGCGGAATCCTGGGTCAAGCAGAAATAAACTCGGAAGCCTCGGCAGTTAGCAACTGCCGATCCCGAAACTTGGAGAGCAGCCAAATTTTACCACAGTAGAGAGTCTGGACGGCAAAGATCGAGCTTTCAAGGCTCACCATTCTTTCTATATTTTAAACTTACAAGGGCCCAAAGCAGTTTGGGGATGCAAATACGAAGTGAGCATATGGGGCTTAACTCATATTTACACAGAAGAAAAGTAGCCGAAGTATTAAGTCCAGGTTGTCCATGTGGCTACCAATCACAGAACCCCAAACATATGAATATGTCCTGTCCCCGATGGTCAAATGATAGAGCTGAGATCTGGAGACAAGCCAAAGATCGGTCCTACGAAGCGATGATAAACATTCCTGGAGATATAAAAAGGATAATACAGTGGATCCTACATCATGGTTGGGTAGAGAAATTCCAGATGACAAAGGCGGTCGAAATGCTGCTGAGGGAAAGGAAAAGGTCAAATAATTTTTGGGGCGGGTAGAGATGATCTGGTTGGGTTACATGGAGCGCACTATAGTGTAACTGCGCTTCCTAAAGGATACATTATAAAAAACATAGAAATTAAGCAGGAAGGTTTGGGGGGTTTTCACCAAAAGATTTCCTCCCATATAAATTAGAAAGTATGATAGACACCTGCATGGGCCCATAGGGCGCCAAATTAGGATAATGAATTCAAATATTTCGCGCCGCGGAAAATTTTGGACAATGAAGTATCAGATGCCGCATGGTGTTAAGGGCGAGGAGAATTACGGACACCGCACGTAAACAGTACCACAAAGAGTTATTATTTTTCTATAGAGATTTACTACAGGAAATCCCTTGAACTAAATATGCCAGCTACAGCCACCAGGGATCCTGTATCCCGACACGTATTCTTTTGATACTGAGTGATCTGTTATCCAGCCTCAGCATAATTAACCGAGTGATTCGAGTCTCAAAAAACTCTGTTATAGATAACTTGGTTAGTGTCCTTGAACAAGGCTGGGCCTGAAAGATAGCCCAGGCTAACCGAACTGGGCACAGCCCGTAACATATGGTCTGTTTCCATTTTCGCCGAAATTACAGTTGTAGTTTTTTGTCTGTACAATTTTAGTTAGTAGGCCCTTACATTCCAAATACTAGTCCTGGCCTGAACATATGTAGATTCAACTTCTCTACTGTGTCCCTGAGAATTTGTTGGTCTGCTAGAAAGAGTTGGGGCTAAATTTGCGCCTGGATCCTGCAAAGCTTGCCAAGACTACAGCTCTTTCTTCACTCTTCCTCCCGGGAAGGCTCGGATGTCCAATCTTTAGTCCAGTCATGCAGAAGCAACTCCTCTGCTTGACAAATGCGCATAGTGTCCACAAGTCTGTAGAAAGTCCTTTCTCATAGCCAATCTACTTCTTACATCTACGCATTAAAGCTGCCGTCCTAACACTTTCTCTTCTCGCGATTCTAATACATAAATTTTAGTAGAATTTGAACAGTTTGTAAAAGGACTGGTCACGCTAGCTGTTCGCACAAGTGAATCCAAAATGGAGTTTATATTCTGTATAACGAAATCAGTATATGAACTACGCGATTAAGTATATGCTGAGCCTTACGTTACCCACCCGAACTTGGCTTTCAAATAATATCACGTGAACAGTCATTACAAGTGGAATCGGACAACTCCGACTCTAACCATACAAGGCGGTAAGCCTGTAACACAGTTACTTTCTTCATTAAATGAATCGTGGTTTGGATTTCTCAAGGTCTCCTTGAGCAATTTCCGACGTCATCAATTCCATGACACACAACAACTAGTTTCCAGCTATGTAATTTTGAAGAACTGCTTGATTGACGAGACTTTACGCCAGCGGTATCTCCAGCTAGATGCCTAGCTATTTGCCAACTGACTCGTAGATTCCACTTGAATTTGGGAAATGACAGCGAGCCATCCCCATTCTTTCTTTAATTTTCCTTTCCGTGCCGATGGAATTGATCTGGATACTTTCAAGATAAAGTCTCCCTATATGGTTTTCTCGAGCTACCACATCAAATTGTTCTCTTCGTCTAAAAATCGAACTCTATTCAGGCTGTTCGTAACCCACGATGCTACTTAAATTAAGTCTCGTATTCACCATTTTTTGGCTTTATCATTGCGTAACCTCCAAAAAGATACCATTCTCGGATTTTTTTCTCCCACTTAGTATCGACGGATATCTATGTGGAGAGAATCTTTACAACATCTTGTCGATAAGAGATGCGGCGACGAAAGCTCATCGATCTTTTCTCTTCGAATCACCACCATCAAAATTTCCTGCGTATTTCGAAGACTGGTCTACCTTCAGTGTTGTAGATGAGATTTTCCTTACCTGGCCACTTATATTGTCGGATAGAAGCTCTTCTACAAGTAATAAAGTCCCTTGTATTTTTGGTTCAAGTTTAGTAATTGTAACTAACACCAAAATTGGCAGTTGGGAGAGATCGAGTTGTTATCAATTCCAAGGGACAAATAATGGGCGCAATAACTGTGAATTTCGATGAAACAGTTAATTCCGCATCCAATTACAAGAAATGCACTCCAATAAGCTTCAATCCCAGCCCGGAAGAGAATCTATCTGCTGATTTAGATCTGTTCTGGAGTAAGGAATATCCTACGATGGGATACGGGTGCGGCCCATACTTATTACCAAATTTGGAAATCGATCGACTGCGGATATTCATATCTAATCGGCACTTAAAGAGGCAGGTCCAGTATATGCGAGGGACAGATCAACCTAGAGAATACACAGGTAATTTATTTAACGGAGATAAACTTCTAGCTTACAATCCCTATAAAAAGAATGAACTTGGAAGCGCCTCTGGTTTTTGGAACCCTATCCTGTAAAGTTTTACAAATTCTAATGTGTATTTACAGGCCAATCTATGCCATGTCGGATTATTTTTAACTTAAGTGAGGGCATCAAAGGGGTCATATACGGCGCTAATTTGGATACTAAATGTCAAAAAGTATTCGATATATCAAAACTAGTGTACGACCCCCCTCAAATTCCAGTAACTATTACAGACTACGAGAAAATGGAAGAAAAAAACCGAGAGTACTCGTGCGCCAATGAGATGTTGAGGTTAGGGCTTGTTTTGAATTTCATAAATTTCGCCAAGGCTCAGATTTCGCGAGGCTTAGTAGATGATGGATCTCAATATCCTATTTTACAAGATTCGAACTTACTTTTGTGGCCCATCAGGTTACCAGAAAAATTAAATGACAGTGGGTATAAATATACTTAATCTTATCATCTGCTGACTTAATGAGCACAGATTTGCCAATTATATTTGCTGTAGGTTATAGTCTAAACGACAAAAAATTTGAGGTATACTATTCGTTGTTACTTCTGGATAAGTATATTAAATACACTAAATGTTAGACGATGATATTTTTATCGTGACCAGATACTACCCCAGCACCCAGAGGGCAAGACACATATACTCCAGATCAATATACGTCTCTTCGCTACTGAAATCGTTGTTTCGTAGAAACTAGATATCTAAAACTAATAACAAATAGAATCACCATTTCTAAGGTATTAGTGCCCTGCACAACAACTTAATCCTCGCGCGCGCGTGCGTGTATGCATGCGTATGTTAATTGCGCTGCTTGATTATATGAATATCTAACACATTGGGCTCCTCTCTGGCCCAGACCACACCATGTACAGTACTCCTTCCCCCTTTGTTACTTGAAAATTCAATAATTATTACCCGTGATGAAAAGCCATTCAGCTCAGTATTTACCCGTAGAATTTGGCCACTTTTTGCACGGAACCTTCTACCCATAAAAATAAAATGGTAGTAATGGAAACTGCGTTCGTGGGAAAAAGTCTCAAAAACCTGCAACCCCAGCGAGGCGAGGCCTAGACACCGGGACCACATGAGGTGCGCATATTCATCTATATCTCCCGTCTTTGTAACAGTCGAGGCCGACTTGATCCAATCCACTATCTCCGTATCGGGTGCTGGGAACGCTCCGGAAACTCATCGGATGGCTTCTCCTCCATGATCAAGGGTGAGTGATGGGTAGGGCTCCGACCCTACCATCTGATCTGATCGTGGTCAGCTTCATGATCATGATCTTAGGGGGGTGTATTGAGAGATGAAGACGATTCAGACGGCGAAAGCGATTGGGAATCCTCGTCGAAATGAGGACTTTGTTACTCAATCTCGGTTCTGCAGACTCTACAGTGAGAGCTGGAGGTTCGTAGGGGACACCACTGACAGGCATTGAGAATAGTCCCCCTAAATATTCGTGGCTCGATGTTGAATTGTATGTCTTTCAAGCCGCTTACCCAACTAGACTTTTAATAAAATGCAGGTCTATCCTATTGTAATAAAACATCAATTTTCGTATGTGAAGGCCGGAATAAAATCCAACCCATTACCCCTATCTCACATGCATAATCTGTAGTCCATAAATAATATAGCCCTGTACAGCCAATACTAGGGACCATTGCCGGCAAAGACGAATTCTTCACCCTCCAGCCGTGCCAGTGTAATGGCTCAGTATGATCTGCATATCCAGCATAGCCAAAAAGAATCACAATCGAGTCCAAGTCGAAAGCAACATCAAGCATATCTCCATTTGGCGACTTCTCAACAATGCCCATCTTGCGGTCTTGATCTGGGTCCTTCACCTCTTTCTAACCACACATCATCTCGCTTCGACGACCGATAAAGGGGTTGTTCTAATTGCAAACGGGAGCTTGCCCCACCAGTTACCAGCCAACTTGCACTACATATTAATGACAATACGTATATCCGCAAGGAGGAAACGAAGTCATAATCTACAAAGCTCGGGGGTTGGTTAATGGGGGACCGTTGCTCTAATGGGGCTTTACATCTTGAGGGATAACAGGTAGCTGGGACGTAGGACGAGCGAGTGAAGGGGTCACAAATGGGCATCCCGGGACTCATAGTTTTCGAGTGTTTTCGACTTTGGGGTACTTGTGGGCGCCGAGGCGACGATTCGGATAGTTCACCAACACCTTCAGAAGAGTCAACAATGGAAGATGCTGTGGCCCGCCTCGTGGTCATCATCTCCCCGAATTCAAGTCTGGATAGCCTGAACACCTACCTCACTCGAGAAAGGGTGGGCTGTGAGGCCATATCTCGCGCGGCGGCTATATACGATATTACAAAGGTATGTTATGGTAGAAAAGAGTTTTTCCCGTTTTATCTTTGAACATCCACGGTTGAGGGAAGGCTAAAACTCCTTGTCACCAAGGTCTCGAGTGCTATCAGCGAATGCACCCACTACATGAGTGATTCAAATGTCAAACTAAGTTATCTTCGTATATAGAATTTAATTTAATTGACTAATTGAACGTATCAGGCTGAAGCCCTACGCCCAGGAGGCTTGACACGGGAGCGTGTCAGGAGAACCCACAACTACAACTGAAGCTAGCTTTATATAGCTAGTAATTTACATGAATAAGAAAAAATAAGAATGTCGGGGAAAATTTTCAATGCTCTGACTTGGCGCCCTGCGCCTAAACACCTTTCTTATTACAGTTTGCCTGTGTTATTTGTACTCCAAAAGACCTCGGTCTCTCCTGTCTAACTTTGCTCCCAATAACATCCCGTCACGGTGAGAAATCGATAGAATTCTACCAACCCCTTCTCTCCTAACAGTGCCAATCCACTTGGCTCTGAATCCTTCGTTGTTCTTCGCCATTGATTTAGCGCTATCCGGCATTCCAAAAAATTCTACGGGCGTCTTTCTCGACCACATTTGCACCTACAATCTATTCCTTCGTGGTGAAACCTTTTATGGTATTTGGAGAAATTTCCATGACCAGTCCTAGCTGCTATCAAATGATGATACGCCTATCTTGCGAGAGCTAGCTCTGGTGGATGTTTTAGTTTCTGTCGGTAAAAGGATCATATTTGGCAGTATGAATTGTTCTATGTAGTTGCGTTATTCAGATTGTCGTTGGGACACTGACAGGGGTCTGATTTAGCTCATTAGCGAGGCGCTTGGAGTAGTGGAAGGAAGGGGAGATGGAGAGGAAAAAGGAGAGACAACGTTTTATGTATTTCGAGATACCAGTCAATTGACATTATTCACCGACTTCGTGACGGCACCCAATTTGTATTACTTCGTGTTTTACCAACAGTTTCATCAGTAAATCTAGGTCTTTGTATCGACTAGGTCTATTTTTATGCCACCAGGCTTCGATAGACTCCTCACAGTGGTCTCTAACGTATCAGTTTAGCACTGCAAAAGTGAACCTTTGTCCTTAGTTTGACCTCGAGATAATCAATGCATCTGTAAAAACTGGAGCATCTTTCAGAGCTGATTCGGCCAGTTTATCGGCATGGATGTTCCCAAGAATTTCAGAGTGGCCTGGAATCCATCGTATCTCTACTAACCCGTTAATGTGTGTTAGAGTCGTAAATTGGTCAACTGTAGCTTGAGGTGACTTGCTTTGGCCTATTCTGAGGGAGTGGAAAGCTTCAGAATTATCGAGGAGTACCTTAATAGGGAACTTTCCTGCCAATTTTATAGCTTCTTCTAGGGCTTTCTGAGCGCCTAAAAGTTCTGCGTCGTACACTTCTGCTCCAATAATTGTACCCGCACCGCTTCCGACTAGCCTGCTTCTCTTGTATAAGGCGTATCCCCATGCAGATCTCGCTGGGACGCTTGACGAGCCGTCTGAATATGCGCATACAGTCTACGGCGAGAGATTTTCTATCCATAACTTTGCATAGTCCGATACCTTTTTCCTATCAAGACCCGGTAAGAGCCAGGCCGGATTGGTTTTTAGTTATGGGAGATTTTCAGGGCCTTCTGCGATTGGTACATTCAGAACACAATTCTGGAGTCGTATCAGATAGCGCTTCGGGACAGTGATAGATCGAACTTCATGGCCTGCTCGGAGCTCAAGACACACTATCACATCTTTTTGTGCCTCCCTAGATCTCAGTGCCAGGAGGTACCATACGTCCAGGCGTTGAATACGAGCTGCTGACCGTAGTCGTCTCTGGTCCAGAAGGATTGCTGCTGGTGGGATGCCTGACTCTCTTCGAAGAGCCAAATTTGGAGTTGTACGCCATGCTAGTAGTGCTGCTCTAGATGCCTTTGAAATTGTTATGTCAAGCAACTCAGTATGCCAGCAAACGCTGATGCTAACTTTTTTGTCTTGCCTAGTGGTAATACGGGACAGGCCTGGCCACCAGGCTACTGCTCCATATAGTGCCATAGTGAGAACGCATGCATGGACCGCTTTAATTATCGGTACCGGTGCTACGTCGCGCTGAACAGTGTTAATCCGACGTATTAGCTGGGTTACACGTTGTGCTTTCCCGCACCATTCTTGCACATCTTGCTTAAAATTCAGCTGAGAGTCAAGCCATACTCCAAGCCACCTCAAATGTGGGGATGGGGAGACATTGAGACCTTTCACCTGGACTGTAAGACCTGAGGTGTCCAATTTTTTCCTTGGTCCACCACCTATTATTAAAAGCTCTGTATTTGCGGAGTCAAAGTTTATCTTGTGCTCTTCTGCCAGCTTAACAAGTCTGTCTACTTCTTCCTGGGCCGATGGGGCAGCTTCGACAGCAGTGCAGCCTAATCCGAGGATGGCGATGTCATCAACGTATCCGTATCTTTTTGCCTTCTCATCTTGAACTAAGACGGTAATATATATAAGGAAAAGGAGTGGTGAGAGTGGTGAGCACTGCGGGATTCCGAGCTCGATAGTTTTGTCGCGAGTTAACCCGCTCTAGTGGCGGACCCGAATTCTCCGCTGGGCCAGAAAAGAGTCAATGAATCGGCATAGAATCTTCGGCTACCCCTGGTCCCGCATTCTACGCAATAGACGCTTATGAAGCACTGCATAATATGCTCCTTGCACATCCATTGTGACCATGGCTATGAGCTTGTTGTTCCTCATTGTTGCCTCGGCGTCGTGAATGACACAGGAAACAAGATCGACAGCTGAGCGTCCAGGTAGTGTACCAAAAAGTTGTTGGGGAACTACTTGGTGCTAGATAGCTGACCACGCCATTCTTTTGGCTAAGTTGCGATCTAGTCCTTTACCTAGACACGAGAGAAGAGAGATAGGTTGTCACCCCGTAGGAGTAGATAGATCTCGTCCTGGCTTTGGAAGCAGGACTGCTTCTGCGGCACGAAACGCTATTGGGAATTGTCTATGGTCCAGACAAGCTTGGCATATGTTTCTCACATGCATTCCAATTACTGTCCAACAAGTCTTGAGCAATCTCACCGTTAGTTTGTCAGTTCTTAGGGCCGTGTTACTGCCGCCAAGTGTGTATTCTGTAAGTTCCAGCAATGATATTGCATTATCCCAAGGGATCAGCTCCGGTTGGCACAGCTCCCATGTGGAGAGATCTTGTTCTACGTCAAAACGAGCCATAAAAGTATCTCTCAAGCTCTCCGCCCTCTCCAGTGGGTTAGAGAGCCATTTGTCTTCGCCAACTCTTAGTGGGGGGCTGTCGACATAACTTAGGCTTGGCCCACTACATCAGCTTAAATACCTGCGCATCTATGGTGGTATTTTCAGATATCTTCCTCCAGTGCTCTCTTTTGGTTGATTTGATAGCAGCTCTGAAAATTTTCCTAGCTTGGGCTGCTGGAACTGGGGAAACTCTAGAGTCCTTGAATTCGCGATGCCTTGTCTTTCATTCATTGTTCCACCAAGGTGCCGCCGTTCCGGTGGATATTGATGGTTTACGTCCAACTGCTTTACGAGCATCATCGAGTGCCGCAAGGAGTGCCGAGATATGGAGGTCATAGCACGTATACCATTATCTATTGCATGTAATCAGTATTTTTTAGAAGTCAGAATAAATGGGGCTATCAAGTAGGCCACATTGTTGATACACGTGTGATTACAAATTCTTTATTTAGTTTCACGTCAGTAGTTACTTGAATCAATGCGCTCTACAGATTCAATGACCGAGGGAGCATTATTTTCTTTAAAGTATTTAAAATTAGTGCATTTCATAACTGATAACAGAGTTCTGTATCTATAAATTTTTCCTGTGTAATCAAGCATCTATTTCTAGGACTACGATGAGCGAGGTACAAGCTCCAGCTCTATATTCAAAACGTCAGAATAATTGTTTTTCACTTGTAAGTTTATTTGACGTCCAAGAAACTCTATTTGCTCTACTTAACAGTACTTCTGGGGGTTTGGCATCAAGTCTACAAAACGTACGACCTGGAAGAAAGGCATGAGAGCTTTGACGTCTAAAATTTAATCTATCTTCCTCCTGAGATCTTCAGAGCTCCTAGTAATGTTAATGGAGCGACTCAAATTCCAGCTCAGAGTGAGATCTCCTTGAAAACGTGAAATTCATTCGGTTGGCTTATTAATATTATGACCATTAAGCGGGGAAAAGTTAGATTTGCTCCCCACTTTCCAACTTTCTAAAGCACATATCCACCACTTCCAGCCACACCCCAGCTTCTCACTCCTTTGTTTTCTTCTAGTTCTACACACCGCCAAAGAGCTTCTCTTGTTTTCTCGAGTTGCCCGCTCTCTTCGTATGCCCTTGCGAGTACAAACCATGCATCACTACAATTCCAGCCTGCACCAGTGTTTGTAAGGGTACGGAGAAGCCCAAAAGCTCTATCTCGTGCAGCTAATCTATCAAGCAACAAAGTAGATGGATCTTTGTGGCTGAATTCACGAGAGAAGCAAGTGCCACTTCCAAGATCAACATGTTTCGGTTGCCTCTCTACAGTTATGCCGCTTTTTATGGTCACAGGAAATCCAAGAGGTCTTGCCGGTGCTATTTGGATAGTGGATGACCTCTTGCTTGTTAAAGACGATTTTAAGTTTTGTCGAATAGTTACATTTGAAGTTGAAGATGAAGGAAAAATATTATCGGGGGGTGTGATGGTTGGAATTGGGGGGGGTGGAAGAAGCTCTTGAGTGTAGATATCTATTAAAATGCCAGAAAGACCTATAATTGCACTAGGATGGTCACGAAAATGTGTTAGGGCAGTCTCAAAGTGCATCAGTGCAGAGTGATGCGACTTTTCTGCAATGGCAAGATAGCCAAGCTAGAAAGTGTTAGTAAATAAAAACTTCAATTCTGTAAGACTTACTTCAGCGTAGATATCACCCCAGACTTCCCCGGGTCTTTTTCTAAAACTCAATCCAGCACCAAAAACTGATTGAGAGCCTTTCATTTCCTTCATGATACTAGTATCAATCTCACTCATAAGCTGGTGTGCTTCATTAATGGCACCATGTGCATCTTCATAAAAAGAGGCTCGTCGGTATAATCCACTAATCATGAGCCAAACCTTAATGAGAATAGCTAGTTTTCTTCTTCTTTGCTGATCATTCGAGAAGCGAACAGCTGGGTTAAGACAGGAGTGATCAAGGAATCTAATACCCTGATTTTCCTGAGTATGAGATATAATCTTAGGATCTTCAGTCACTGATTTTGATTGCATTGCTAAGTAGTTCTTGCTAGAACTTTCTGGGTTTATGGCTCCAAACATTTGCCCTTGAGGATGAGATTCTTTGCCAGTAAAATGTTCGGAAATTTGGTCTTTGGCAGTTTCTATCATTGTTCTTGATTCCTGATCCTCAGACATTCGAACTTGAGTATTGTCCTCTTGATACTGCGATGCAGTGAAATTTGCCTCTTCATTTCTGTGAGATTCATTCATATTCTTTTTGAGGAATTTAATCGAGTTCACTTGAGAATCAGTACGTTGACTAGGCTCATTTCCTCCAGTAGTCTTTTGTGTGGCTACCTGGATATCTTCACCAGTGACTTGAATTTTTGGTGTTTTTGTTATCTTTGTTTTAGGAGATGCTGGACGAGCCATAAGAGAATCAGTGTTAGTATGAACTCTTCGCGCTGAGCAGCCAAATAAACTCCCTTTGATGGGCCCCATGGAGTGGTTTGACATTGCAGGTAATTGATCAACTGGTGGTCGATCCTCTTTGATATCTCCAAAAAGTTTTGCAAATAAGCTTAGTAGTTCATCGCAAGCATTTACGGTGACCTCAGGTCCTTCTAAAACCTCTATTAACGCCAATTGTGTCATTTTGATATCAAGTAGATTCTCTTTCTCGAATTCATTCATGACTTCAATCACACCTTTGGTTTTTTTAGCTTGTACTTCAAACTTATATTGGTATGTACTACCTTCAATTGGATCAGTGTTCCCAGAAGATGATTTTACTTGATGTTGAAATTGTTCAAAGGCACCCGCACATGACTTGCTAGCCATAGAAAATTTTTGGCGAGCACTGAGAAGCAGCGACATCAGATTCCATAGAGGTATTAACACAATTTCTCTTTGTGAGCATCTGGTATGATTTAAATTTTCAATTGAATGCGTATCTGATGAAATTGGTAGAAGACCACATTTTACAACTTCTATTGCATCAGATAGTTGTCTCTGCTCTGCAAGAAGAAGCCCGAGAGCGAAAATTGTCTCCGGTTCTCTTGTGCTTTCAAATTGCGGTAGAAGTGATTTTCGAAAGTACTTCTCTGCTTTAGATTGCATATCGGATCTAGATGTGGCATCAAAGGTTAGTTGAGCATATTGCGCATATCCGATTCCAACACAACGCCATGCTAGAGCAATAGTTTGGGGTGAAACTTTAGGTTTTGGAGATAATGATGGCTCGTCATGAGAGCTTCTGTCCTCTGGATTGGGGTTATCCGAGAAATGCGCGTTTAACCAATCCTCCAAATACTTGCAGGTCTTATTTGCATAATTGGCCTCTTCAAAGTATCCATAGCGGCATATGGCCTTGATATACTCACAGGTCGTCTTTATAAAGACTTCATCGCCAAAAATTTCATCGTCGTTTTCTACTGGTCCCCTCTGTCGTGATCTACCTTTTGTTACTTTGTCCATAAAAGTTTCGAATGCCTTAAAGGCCAAGTCGAACTCTGCAATGGTCAGATGCACGGTAAAGAGATAGCGAAGAATGGTAGTCGAGTGAAATGTTTTTTTGGAGGCTCTGTAGAGAATTTCGAGAACATCCCTACTGACGGCTACTGCTCCACCATCGCCAAGATCAGTTTCTTTCCATGCATAACCACAAATAATTCGCCAATTTTGCATTACAACTTCAACAAAAGCTTCTACTTCTTCATCGTTACTTTCGGCAGTAGGAAACGGAGCCTCGCTCATAAGAATCTTTTCATACTGAGATTCAACTTTCTTAAGCTCAGCTCTCTGTTGATATCTTGTAGATACCTCGGGGTATGCTACTGACAAAGCTGTAGTGGGATATGGTAGGTCATGTCTTATAAGATGTGACAATGTGATGTAATATTCCCTCCAGACATGCCTTCGAGAAGACTCGGCACATTTATTCTGAACAGAAGCTGGCACCGAATCCTGAACATCCCAGAATTTCGCCCATGATCTGAATGCAGATAGTGTATCAGTTTGTAGAGTTGCTGAGGTTCTTGTTTTGACCACTTCGCTACATAGCATGCATAAGCTAGTTAAGAAGAGTTCTACCCACAATAATATTTCGTTTTTGTACCTGATGCTTTCTAATAAACTTAGCAGTATCGGTAGTGCAGATTCAAGTGTATCTAAAGCTTCCGAAACCAAGTTATTCTTCTGAAGTGAATTGCCTTTAATGTAAGAAGCCTTGATGGCGCATAGCTTAGTCCACTCAGATACTTTATTCTCTGAACTATCTACTTCTGCATATTCCTGAACGATATTACTAGGAAGTTTTGCGATAGCCGAAGAAAATTCACCCAATTGCCAGTATATCCAACCCAAGCAAACCTGTGCTTGAAACCAATCTTCGTTGTGCGTCTTATCTTTACTGATGGACTCTTCCAATACTGGTATGAATTTAGAGATTCCTAGAGAGGTCGAGGAAATGGATGTTGTGGTAGTGTTGAGAACTATTGGGAGTGGTGGATTAATTATTGTAATATTTTTATGCGCTTCCATAGCTAGGGTGTATTCGCATTCGGCTGCCGTGATGAGACCTGGTATTTGGAGTCAACTCTTTGGCTATGTCGTCTATGAAATAGAATAAATATGCTGCTCTTTTGATAACGTACATGATCGATGTTGGGAGTATTTTCGTATTTTTCGAAGGAGCTCAGGTACTGCGCTCCAATTTCCGTGACATCTTGCTTCATTCAGTTGGTGAATGTAAGCAGCAGCCTTAGTTTCCTCGCGCTGGTACGTGATTAGCAGTCTTTCTCAGGCCAAGGTTTGCGATGGCTTACACTCATATTCTGTAATATTAAGAGGACTTGATTTGGAAGATAACTTGGATGCACAGGACATCTGAGATTTCAAAGCATGACGTGCAACATTTATCTCACGACACTTCGATAGGGGATTGGCGTCTTGATGTACATCTGCGTCGCTTAACTAAAACCGTATACCAACCGAGTTAGAAGCATTAAGATAAGCAGATAAGATTTGTCTTATCGTTACTCTAGCCCTGACGTAATCCGCAAATAAATTTCTTGTGAAATGCAGCAATCGATAAATAAGAATTTTTAAGAGAATAATGTTCACCAATCTAAACCAGTCGAAAGTATCTGCGCACGTCTAAATCAAACGCGATTATCATGTCCTTTCCGCCAGAGCTTCGAGTTCTGTGCAATCAGCTATCCTCGACTCATGCAGCTAATCTTCCAAGTCTTATTCCAACACTTTCAGAATATATAGCACGTTGCCAGGATCCTCTATCATGTTTTACCTCCAAGTCACATACAAAAAACACCTCTGTGCTTGTTCACAAGTTAAAAACTCAGATAACAGCTCTCCTCCAAGGAAAAGATCCTGGAGAGAAGTTAACTGCTATTGTACTTATCAAAGCCGTTGTTGAAGTCGGGGGCACAGAGGTTCTAAGTTCATGCGAACCATGGGTTAAGGGTTTACTAGCACTAATCACAGTGGGTAATCATCTGGGGTTATCTAAGCAGTCTGCTAACGAAAGGTTAGAAACACGACTGTATAGTGTTAAAAGAAATGTGTATAGCAACACTCACTAAAATTTATATCCTTACCCACCAAAGTCCATCTATTGTGCGTGAATTAACTACGCCTACACTACCAGCATATGTGAGCTCGTGCCTAGAGGTTATAACTTCTTGGTCTATAGAAAATACGCAAGAAGTTCCCATATCATTACAGGAATCAGTGATCCACTCCTTTGCCTTGCTTGTTCCCCATCACAACAGTCTATTTAGACCATTTGCCACGCAAATACGCACATCTCTGAATAGGCTTTTGACACCATCGATGTTAGATATCCCTCCCATACCAAGCTCACTTAAAGAAGGCGCTCAACGGCTTTACATTCGACTCTACCAGACTGCACCTAAAGACAATGGCAGGGAAGAGTGGAATAATGGTATACGAAAGCTAATAAAAAATATACACGTGACTTCTGATCAAGTTTTTCGTACTGTTATCGAAGAATGGGAATCCAATTCTGGCTATATTATAGGAAATATTAATCCGAACGAGAACCTGAAGGGAGGTGACGAAACTGTCGATTACCTGAATAGCTGGACCGGCATTGAAGCCGGTTCTGATCGACTGATAGGAATGATACAACTTCTAACTCAGTTTTTCCTAACTGAAACTTCTTGGTCTGTCGCAACACCAATAGGAGCTATTATGGATTTAGTTAATCGAATTATATCGATCAAGATACCAACTAATACTTCTACAAGCTCAAACACGCAAAAAAACGAAGCTATTCGCCTAAATCCCAACTTCGAAAAGGAAGAACAGGAAATTTTATGGACCCGCATGCCTTACATATACACATCTACGATACAGCTTCTCGACGCGATTGCAAATAGACTTCAGGAACACTTTACGTCTATCGCTTTTGAATGCTTTGATCGAGTAGCATGGATATTCCCTTACGGCAAGGATAACTCCGAGTTCAGATTAGCTAGCTTCAAATTTATAAGCCGAATTCTAAAAATAGTTGGAAAAGAGTTTACCGATGCTCAAATGAGTAAAGCCCCAATCATTATCAACTCGTGCTGTCAAGAGCTTCTCAAAAATGAAGTAATACCAACAAGTTTTGATCAAACTGGAGTCGAACCTTTAGCTCGCGACGTCAAATATCTTGACTGTAAAAATTCTTTGCTACGTTTATCAAACTTTACCGCTCAGCTAGATATCAAGGAACCAGATGTTGCTAAAGCAGCCTCTAAACTTTTGCCGCTTTTAATATCGAATTTACCTCAAAACCTTTTACACATATCACAACGCGTAAGTTTAGAGAGAACGGCCATCCTAGCAAAAAATAAAGATACATTGTTAGCTTCTATACTCTATCCGTTCATAGGAAAGTGTAGTAAACCGATGGCTAGTATAATACCACACCTCTCTCGGGAGTTTCCGTCAGAATACGTTACGGAGATTCTTTTACGCCCACGGATGCCTCTTCTCTTAGAAACAGAGAGGTCTTCCGGCGAAAATTTAGAAATTGATTCTGAGGAAGAAGTAATGGAGTTTGAACGCGAGATTTCAGAAATTCGTAACACTGAGACGTTTAATACGTTATCTTACTCACCAAGAGTTAGCTCTATGGCAAAAGATGAACAGCAGGATAAATTTGATGACATGAAATTTGAAGCTCCAACTCCCACTGCTCCTCTACTTAATAAAGCCATGACAGGCACTCCGACAGACGAAAGAAAAAATACTAAAACCCACATTGATTCTACCATGTGTGTAGACTCCGATAGCAGTGACAATGAAAGTGTACACCTCTGTATGCAAATAGATACGGATTCAGATGCATGAAATGAATAGAAAGACGAGTGTTTTCGGGAAAGATCTACTAGCCGGTTGGCTGAAAATTTTGCCCTTTCAAATTATCAGCTCGGATGAGCCTCAAAATTACTAAAAAGATAAGGCTCAAGACTAAGGATAATTCTAGTAGCATGACTGTCTCTCAAATTTTAACGCAAATAATTATTTACTAGACTTCTTACATGATGAATTTTTGGATCTATAATAAAATGTCTATAGATAGGGCAAAACTAAAGAAAATTTACGTTGGTTGTGCTACTTTCTAATGATTACAAAAGGCCGTAAAGCTTTGGGGCTTTAGTGGCATAGTCTTCCTTTTACAATTAATATCTGAGACATCAATTATTATAACAATTACTGACCGCACAGGTACTCGTAATTTATCATGACCTATGTTGTCATGGCTAGGAGACCTAAAATTTAATTTTTGATGAACGTATTCTTAACAAAGATACTTGGGACATGGTATTGCGTTGTAAATGTTGACTTTTTTTAATCATTTAATGTTTATGCAGCTATAAAGCTATGACACATGAACAGTGCTATATATATATATTGAATGACTCTTTCGACGTTAGAGACAGTTCTGGTCTGGACTTCATTTGCAAATACCACTACGAGGTATGCTTGCTTACACAAACAGTCGACCCTCCTCCGTAAGTACCCACCAAAGGGAATATTAAAACCTTTGGTTATCCAAGCATGCCTTCGTCATCCATGTATACCAGCGCCGCGAGAAAAGTGGTTGTGTTTTGCCGGATTTGAACCAGCGATCTAATGTCTCGAGTGGGATATGTGTCCAAGCTATCCAGATTCTACATGCAAGATCGCCCAAGACGATATACCACCATACAATATAACCATGGCGGTGTTTATAGTGTCGTCTGCACTCGAGCAATCGAAGCCTTGGCGCGCACAAAGCTCAATGTGTAAATCTCCTTGACTAAATTCGGATTTTCATGCTCGTCGAGACTGTATCCATCCTTTGCATCATATTGTGAACTTGTCCTGATTTCTCTCACGCCCATCCCAAATAACAGTCTCCCAGATATGTGCGCCACGCTTTATTTCCTCCGTCGGCTGTAAATATTGGCGTGGGCGTGTATTTGGCGACTAGCTGAGGCCAGAGAAACTCGACGAGAGCTGTGGTCATTGGAATGAGGATGTGCGGGTCGTACTTGTAGTTGTGGGCCAACTTCTTCGGTGTTACGAAATTTGACTGAACTTTCTCCTGGGAGAATATTTCACTCGCAGGTTCGCAGAGGGCACCGCGCACAGGTGTTCAGTCATGCCCTCCAATCGCCTTTTCCCACACCCATTTTCGAGTGAAATAGTTTTATATTCTTGCCTCACATCGCCAAACTTCTGTCTGGGCTTCATATGAGACAAGCCATTGTCTCAACATACTGTCAGTTTCTCAGCCCTCGACAGCCGTAGACCGATTACAGGAGTAAACATACCCAGTCTATTAGGAGTTGGAGTGATTGGGGCTGTCAGGTTGCCCGTGTTATGGACACACACGTGACCAGAAAACCTGCACCTAATTTCGCGTCGGCAGGCGCTTGAATGGATGCGCTCTACGAGGTCAATGACTGAGGGGCCATTATTACCTTGATTTAATCTATTGAATCATTTGAGGCGCAGGTGCGAGGATTCTGGATGCATAGATGTCTTGATTGGTTTTTGTGTTGACATGCTAGGCTTTTGGCATGCTGCACACTCCTCCAGGAGCTTGAGCACGAGTGAGGCCAGGCTGGATCAGGGTAACTACTATTATGTACGTGAAACTCATCCCATCTGAATTACTGGACCAGCTCGGACTTCGTGGGTTAAACAAAATAAGTGCAAACTTCCATAGAGCCTGACGTTGGCGCGCCGAAGCGCACTCTTTCTCAAGCCCCGACTTAACGTATCTGAGGCCTTGACACCTCCCCATTCGCTAACCTTGTCCCTTCCGTTTAGCCCCAGCCTTGGGTCGTGCTGGAATATTCTTATCATATGCAGGGGCTGTTTTGTTCATTGGGAGCTTCTTTTTACTTGTGAGAGATTTTAATTGCGTATGCAGCTATCTAGCTATGACACAATATCAGAGGAGTGTATAATAGATGACTCAATTTACAAGAGGAGCACTCATGCCTCGGATTTCATTTGCAGATACCACTGCGAAGTCATGACGGCTTTTTCTTCACCCCAAGTCACCCTTCATCCGTGAATACTCACCCAGGGGAACATCTCAAAAACCCTGAGTTATCCAGACATGCCTCCGTCATCCATTCTTTTTTCTCCGCACGAAATGTGGTGTAGGCGTCTCCTTCTCAAGTGGAGTAGGTGCCCATGCTACTCAAACCATACCAGAGAACACCACCAGGAGGCGGATCACGGTACCTTCCATCGTTGGCTTGTGTTTATAGTGTCAGCTGCACTCTCGCAATCGAAGTCTTGGCGCACACAAAGCTCAATTCGTAAAACTCTTTCCAAAATTCAAAATTTCACGCCCGTCGAGAATGTATCCCTCTTCTGCATCATCTTGTAAACTTGTCCTGATCCCTCTCACGTCCGTCCCAAAGAGCTATCTCCCAGATTTGTGCGCCACGCTTTGCTTCCTCCATCGGGTATAAATGTCGGCGAGGGCGTGTATTTGGTGGTCAACTGAGGCCAGAGAAGGTCAAAGAGTGGTGTGGTAATTGGGATGAGGATGTACTTGTTCGTACTTGTAGACTTGATGAGGTGTTGATGGGGATCGATCTCATCGGGAGGAAGAACTTGACTTGGAGTAATATAAATCATTGCCACGTGGGCCAACTTGTTTGGCACTGCTAAATTTGACTGAACTTGGCTCTAGCAGAATATTTCACTTCCAGGTTCATCGAGGACTCCGCGTACAGATGTTCAGCCCTCGACCTCCAATACATAGGATTTCTTTTCTTATCTTTAATATTTGAGGTCGTGTCTGCGCACAGCACGAGAGCTTTTCACGTACCAGTCAGCCCAGTCTATATAAAACTACCCGACGTGTTGGCTCCTGCATAGACCCAAAATAGCAAATGAAAACCAGGATCTTATCATCCTGTGGTCGAAGATTATAGTGTACATGAAGATCGTCCGTCCAACGAATCTCATGCTATGCAGTTGGTACTAAATCAAGGAAAGATTTTACACAACAAAATAAAAAATAAAAGGAGAAGATTGTTTACATCAGATCGTGATTTCGTTCGAATCAGACTGTTGGTTGTGCCTTTTCGAAGAAATCTGTGAAACGCACCCAATTATTGAATGCACCAACTCCCTCCGCCGAAGCAAGAGCCCAGGAAACGCTGGGGTTAGAGTTCTGTGCCCTGTGGAGCTGAGTTTGGTATTGCCCGAGGTGGCAATAGAAGAAGTGGTTGGGGGACTTCTCTTCTCCGCATGAGCAGGTTAGAATGGCGTTTTCGTGCTGAAACTGTCAGTGGTATTCCGCGAAGTTGTCATGACCGGACCGTACAGCTAGTAGATATCCTTTTGTATGTTGCCACAGATGGGCGAGCTCAATAGTGATTTTAGTACTAGAGCCAATACCTAATTCTTTGTATCTAGAAGGTGTATTTTCAGCCTAATAGAGTGTTACCGAAGCCTCATATTGAGCTTTGAATTCTCTTCTTGCCCTCGCAATGGAGAGTTGTAAGTTTGGAGCTGGAGCCGCACAGGCAGCTTTGGCAAGCGCGTCGGCTGCTTCGTTCCCGAGAATACCTGCGTGGCCTGGGCACCATCGGATAGTCACTTTCCCAGGCGTCGTATTTAGAACGCGTGATCTTCTTTTCCGGTTCATTGCGAGCTTGCGAAAGGTTAGTATGATGGATAGAATTGATTTGGTAGATGGCGAGCTGAATGTGGAGAGGGTCACGAGATGAGCCTGGCCAGGAATGTGTCAGAGGAAAATGACGAAGTACAAGGCGTCATTCGTTGTAGCGCGAGCATCAGGTAGGTTTTAGTGTCTTTGCACCTGGTACATGGGTCTAGATGATGGATTTGGTTGAGTAGCGCAGTTGTATAATCTCCACAGGTCGGGATATCGACCAAATACGAATCATCAGCGTTCTTTGCATCGCGAAATCGACGAGATATCGCTGATTCACTCTCTGTCGTGACCGAATTTTGGTCCGGAGGGAATGATCCATTCACAGCTTAATAGAGAACATCGCGGATAGACGTTCAGTTTTGCCCTCCTACTCTCTGGTGTCTTCATTTTATTCAACGTCGTGCTGAGGTTTCTTGTGCACGTTAGTAAGAATAAAATGATAAATGTTGACTGTGAAATTCACGGATGTCTCGTGGCTCCGACTACGACAATCTATATGTGTGTAGAGCTTGAGACTAGGTGTAAACTTGTATTTCTATTAACGTTCTAACTCCTCCTTAAATACATGAAATCCTCTATACTTCAGATTATGTAAAAATCCATGATACATGGTGCCAGCTCACCACATAAACTTAGGGTTTTGTTAAGGAATGAGATGCAGATTTGTGTCACGTGATATTATGACGTTAACCCGTCACTCATTCTGTTTATAGCTTAACGAACCTCTTGCTGGGAGGGCAAGACTGAACACCTGTCAGTGGTGCTCTCTACGAACCTGGGAGTGAAATATTCTCCCAGAGCCAAGTTCAGTCAAATTTCGCAATATCAAAGAAGTTGGCCCACGAGGCAAAATTTCAAATTACTACACCATGTCAATCTTTCACTCCCAAAGAGTCTGATTCTCAACTAAGCTTCATCAAGTCTACAAGTACGACCTAGTACATCCTCGTTTCAATGACCACACCTCTCGTCGACTTTCTCTGGCCTCAGTTGACCACCAAATACACGCCCACGCCGATATTTACACCCGACGGAGGAAGCAAAGCGTGGAGCACAATTTTGGGAGATAGCTCTTTGGGACGGACGTGAGAGGGATCAGGACAAGTTTACAAGATGATGCAGAAGAGGGATACATTCTCGACGGGCGTGAAATTTTGAATTTTGGAAAGAGTTTTACGAATTGAGCTTTGTGTGCGCCAAGACTTCGATTGCGAGAGTGCAGCTGACACTATAAACACAAGCCAACGATGGAAGGTACCGTGATCCGCCTCCTGGTGGTGTTCTCTGGTATGGTTTGAGTAGCATGGGCACCTACTCCACTTGGGAAGGAGACATCTCAGATCACATTTCGCGCGGAGAAAAGTTGATGGATGACAGAGGCATGTCTGGATAACTCAGGGTTTTTGAGACGTTCCTCTGGGTGGGTATTCACGGATGAGGGTTGACTTGGGGTGAAGAAAAAGCCACCATAACTTCGCAGTGGTACTTGCAAATGAAATCTGAGGCATGAGTGCTCCTATTGTAAACTGAGTCATCTTTTCTGTACTTTTCTCTGATATTGTGTCATAGCTAGATAGCTGCATACGCAATTAAAATCTGATGCAAAAAAAAAAAAGAACCTCTTGCTGAGTAGGGTTACTCGCTTGACGCGTGATCCGCCAGACGTTAAATAAAGATAAATAAAACGAACCTCTTGCTGAGTTCCGTTGGCCCTTTGTAGACAATCTATTCCACCAGATTTGATCTTGTCGATCTATCTTCCTTTACCGTGAAAGGTCTCGTGTTGGCCAGCTCAGTCCATGTAAACTACCTCACGCGCCGACACATTCAAGTAAGCCCGATATGTAATAAATGGGCCAAGGCCAGCTTGCCATGCACGCCGAACCATCAGAAGAAGTCAAAAGTACTCTCCCGCTCACTTTTATTTTCCAATACAATAAAAAAGATAATTATCTCTGTTAAAAGGAAAGTTATTCATCACCTAGTCCAATAGTCTTTCAATCTAAGTCACAGCAAATGCAGGTCGAGGGTCAAAATTTGAGAGTACTAGCCGGTGCCGTCGTTACCTTTTTGCGAAAAAGCAAGTATCATGATGCCATTCACTAAAAGCTCTACCTCTCACAGAAGCTAGAACCCAGGAATTCCCGGCGTTGGTTGTTTTTTTTTTAAATCATTTAATGTGTATTCAGCTATAGAGCTATGACACATGACCGGTGCTATGTATACATGTTGGATGACTCTTTTGACGTTAGAAACACTCATACTCTGGATTTCATTCGCAAATACTACTATGAGGTATGCTTGCTTACACAAATAGTCGACCATCCTCCGTAAGTACCCACCAAAGGGACGTTTCACAACATTTGGTAATCCAAGCATGCCCTCGTCATCCATGCATACTGGCGTTGGCTGTTTATTTACGCTGTGAAGGCGGGGCCTACTCCGATCGACCCGACAAAAGAGGAAATTTTCAGGGGATTTTTTCAGCCCGCAAGCGCAGATCAAAAGAGCGTTTGAGTGGTGGTATTATCTGGGGGTAATCATCCGAATATACGGGCTGAAGAATTTCAATCAAGTGCGTTTCACTACCGGATTCTCGTTGGACACTCCTGTTGGTGTAACCTCAAGGGAGGATCATACATACTTCATGTAGATTGGCATCGTCCTTGTGACCAGAATGTTTATATTTAAAAACTCTCACACCACCATTCCATTTTCATTTTATTCAAGCACATTTAACACGATGCCTAGAGGGCTGATAGAAATACTTAATCATAGGATATGTCCAAATAAAGTCTCTATCTCATCTATCATGTGATTCATTCGTTACTTATCATGCTGTTTCAAAATAAATAATCACAGCAATTGTGCTTACCCATGCCGGAAACCCCGATCGCTTCCAGAACGCCCATCCAAGACTATGAAGTGCACCAACAACCTCCCCCCCGGATGGCAGGTAAGAACTGCCTGAAAAGTTTTTATCAATAGTTTGACCAGCAATGTGAAGAAATATTAAGGCGTCATCTCATTTTTCACTAGCGTACTTATGGTTCCGGCCACTGGGTAAATCCGACGCCGCAGAGCTCTCGTCAGGTTCAGATATGAGTCCTTCCATAAAACTGATATAGTCATATTGAGGGATACCTCGATCCTCTTTCAGTTCTGGCCCCTTGTGTGGGGGAACTATCATTGTAAGCTTTTCTATGACGTCATCGGGTACCAGACTGTGTCGAAGATCAATCTCAGTCACATAGGGTTTTCCGTCCGCAACTTCTCGAAAGCTCTGATAAACTTGTTCGGCAGTATTTTGATCTTCAGTTTCGTCTACCATGAAGCGAATAAACTGTTCAAAGGTGACATAATCGCAGCCATTTGATGTTTCGAGAAAGAATTCGTGCACTTCATCTTCGCTGAAAACAAGACCCAATGAAGCCAAGGCAGCACTGAACTCAAGTTCTTGCAAACAATTGGTCGCATCTCTATCAAAATGTCGGAAAACACTCTCAAATTCTTCTAGTTGGATAGGTGTCAGGTTAGTCATGTTGCGGGCCACAAGCTGGTTGTCTAAGAAAGCCATTTTTTTGGAAACGGAGTTTTGAACCAGACTAAGCTCATAACACAACTCGTCGTATGTGTATGTAGTGAAATCGTTTTCTTCAATGTTTGCTTCCTCGCATTTTTTGTCAAGCTCTTCAATCTTTTCGAGATATTGATGCATTGGCGCCAGGCTATCTTTGAGACGTCGGATATGCATCATTTGGTCTTCCACATCCCCTTCAAGCCCGGAGATAGCCAGTTGCATAGTGTTTAATGTTAAAGCAAAATCATTTGCCTTGTCGGCAAAAGATTTTCGAAGTGCGTTTTTGATACTTTAAAAGATTAGCCAAGCAAATTTATGGGGCATTAGAAACAAACTCACTCTCGGATAGTTTCATTGATCTGCTGTCCCCTAACCATTTCTGCTTTCATCAGATTAGACCACTCCTGATCTAGGACGTTAAGTCCTAGCTCTGAGGGTGGCTCATAAGGCCGCAGGCGATATGTGCTCATTTTGGTCTTGATGTTTCCGAGAAGGGTAGCTAGATCACTCTTTTCGGCTACCCACTTTCGCTTCTTTCCTCGTTTATACGCACTAAATTCCATTGCCTGAGATTTTGCGTCCACATAAGTCCCGACAAATTTAGAGTCATTCCAGCGGACAAGCTGCTCTCTCATCTGTTCAAGAAGTTCGCGCATTCTTCTCTCAAACGCACTCTGCATTTCCCATGCCCCTTGCATGCTATTCACAAACTTTTCGACCCTGCGTCCAGCGTTCTCTACCTTCTCCATCTGAGAGAAAGCGTGAAACCAATATGCAATGTAAGTCATTAGACTTCGCTCGTCTGGCTTTGCAACATTGCAGACATCATCCACATCTAGAAGGTCAGGGATACCAATTTCTTTGTTCGCAATGTCAAATGCTAGCTGCATATTTCCTCGGTGATCAGACTTATCGAGTGCGTCGTAGTCGATGAGGTCAGGTCGATGAATGTCTAACAGGGCACAAAAGGCCAACCCGTCGTTCCAGCTGTCCGTAAAGTTTCGCACGTCGACTTCTTCATAGCAGGCAGTTTTTCTTTGACACCAAAGTAATAATCCCTCTTTTGCGGTCATACCTTCCTCGTTGATATCAGATATAGTGAAGCGTAAAATTAGAGTCCATATTAGTCCGAGTATGATCTTCCTATTGCCATCCACTATGTCTTCTGCACCGATATTTGTCATTTGGATTCCTCGCATCCGGACAAAGTCTAGTGAGAGATTTGCGTTTTCGAATCGCTGCACTCGTAATTTTGGTTTGGCAGCGTATCTTCCAAGAGATTCTCCAGAAAGACACTCGATCAGATGAATAAGTATAACCTATCCATTAAATTAACCAAGAAGACTTTTACCTGCGGGGCTCCATCATTGGGCTGGATGCATGAGTTTGAAACTTACACCGTCACTGAGATCCTTAACAAGATCAACCACTGCTACTTCCCGCGATTCTATTTTGGTATTCAACCTGCATATAAATTAGCCAACCCTTTTAAGATCAAAAAGAGTCTGGGGTAAGTGCCATTTTGTAAAGGTTTTTTGCTGCACTGTGATCCATTGCTGTTGCTCAGCAAAAGCCATTTTGACAAGAGATTGTTCGCCCAGTGGCTCTAGAGCCTTTAAGCCGTGGTCTAGTGGCAGGTTCGGAGTCGGTTGTTGGAATGTTCGAGCTCTCCTGCGTCCAATATTTTGGTTCGGGTTTCGCTCTGAACAAGCCGATGTGGAGCGCTGTAGCCGGCTAGTGAACTGCTTCGACCTGTTTGCCTCTTTTTCTCGATGTAAATCAGACCTGTCCCGGCGCCGGTTGATGGGAGATGGCGGCAGACCGGCGGAATTGTTGATTTCGCCTATAGCGCTACCCGAGTAACATGTATTTCCGTCGCCATTTTCGGAAGGCGGTGGAGTGATTACCCCCAGGTCAAGCATATTCGGTATTTATCTTGGCAGGCGCTGTCAATCAATTCACGCACAGAGTGTTATTAGCGGGAGAATAAAGACTGGCTTCCTCTACTAGGCTGATGTTTAGATTTTCAGGCCTTGAGATGCGGAATTGCGCTCTCCTTAAGAGGGTTTGATGAGACGATTTTCGGTTCAAATGCTGAGCATGCCGCTTTGAAACACACTCTTCGCTCTTGTCACGTTTCTACTTGGAGATGGCTTGGCCTGATGAGGATTAGACTTTGTGAGAGGTTTCCACATGAAACGCCCTATACACGTTTAGAGATCCCATCAGTTTTCACTGTACAGAGCATGTCTGTGAGTAGGGAGGATTATATCATCAGTGTGAAGGGCAGGCAGAAATGCGGGTCCGCGACGACCCTTCAATTAGACTTCCCGATCAGCTACGCCCGTGCTTTCCGTATATTCTGGCAAGGAGCTTCATCAGATCGAGTGGGCTCCATTACGCACGGTCCGTTCAAACCTTCGGCGTGTCGGGTCAAATCTGAACCAGGACAAGCAATCCCGGCAGTGTGGGTACCGAATCATCATTATATTGCCATCGCCTATCTCTGTCGCCAGAATCAAGTGATGCTAGTTATGACTTTGGAGTATTTGGACCCCACTCTCACATGATATGGTACTGAAGTCTCGATACTTTCAGATGTGCCTGAGGTCCATTCGAGGTCTGAAGGGGCGGATATATCATGATGAAGCTCAACGACCAAGACTTTTGCGAGTAAATATCTAACAGTATTGCGAGAAAATTTGGCCACACTAGCCGTCCCAGCAGGGCATCATAACCCCTTGGTAATAAACATTCAGAGTTCGTTATCGCTATCGGCCCAGTCAAACATTATGGACCCTCCATGTTCGGCCTGGCAACGTATTCGTGAGACTCAGGCTCATAAAAGGGTCACCAAATTGTCACATCACGGTCCAGACTCCCTCATTACCGAGTCATCGAAGTCATGTAGTTGGGTACCCAGATGCATGGTCACTTTTCAATCTACAATCAGCGATAGGGCTAACAAATTGTCGGGTTTAGCTTTAGTCTGCCTGCAGCCACGACTTATTTGTCGCGAAGAGACTATTTTCAACCTTTACTTAGTGACATCATCAAGAATTGCCTGGCAGCCTATTACTTGCAACAGGTCACGTGTACATTATTACAGATCCAAACCAAACCGACGCTTCACTCCAGGAAACCTCACCCGCCATCCGTGTCATGCTATATGAGAGCTGGGCTTGTGGCGGTCATGAATAAAAATCCAATCGAACATAACCTGCCAAGAATGAGTAGCGTTTTATTATCAGAGAAGTGTTCGGCTATCAAACCTCAGTCCCAATCATTAAAAACCAAAAGCCTGATAAACATGTAGGTGATGTGTGGAAGAGTCATCAGCTTGGGCGCGCTGGATGGACATAGCTGAACAGAACCTTGGAGTGTCAGTAACTGTCATATGACTAGGAGCTACGAGACATATCTCTCCATATCCAATCAGATGGAGGAACCCAGTAATTCCCTGTTCCAGAACCTCCCTCGTCGAGTCAAACTCTCAAGTCATCTTGGCTGAGTGAAATAACTCACGGCCGAAGTAAAAAACAGGCTCATATAGGTTACAAAGATGGCGAATGTTCTTCGAAGTTGGATTAAGAGTGTCAATAGTTACGGCAGCTAGCTTCCACCTTTCTAACTCCCAAGAAGCAAGACTACACACAATAGACGGCAATTTTCTTTCAACCCCGACAATGTCTACGGCTATGTGACCATTGATGGTCTGAACGGAGGGTAGAGATCGAACACCTATCCGCAGTATGATCAATAAACCTGGGGCTAAATATTCCTCCAGAGCCAGGCACAGCCAAATGACGCAAAATCGAAGAAGTTGACCCAAGAGGTAATGATTTAAGCCTATCAACAATATCAATTTCTCCCTACCAGGGAGATATAGTTCCGATATCGCCTCATCAAGTTTACAAGTACGACGTAGTATATCCTCATTTCAATGACCAAACCTGTTATAGACTGTTTTCTGGCCTCAGCTAGCCGCGAATTACTCGCCTACAATAATGTGAATGCTCACAGGACGACAAAAACCGTGGTGCATAAATCTAGGAATCAAACCTTTCAGATGGACGTTGAAGAGATAGGACTGATGAAGAAGATGATGCTAAGGATCGATAACATCTAAGAATGGGTGATAATTCGAATCAAGGGAAGGATTTATCACATTGAAGAGCAATTTACACGTCAGGAGGGGGACCATTCTCAACACCTGTCAGTGGTGTCCCCTACGAACCTCCGGCTCTCACTGTAGAGTCTGCAGAGCCGAGATTGAGTAACAAAGTCCTCACTTCAACGAGGATTCCCGATCACTTGCGCGGTCTGTATCGTCTTCGTCTCTCAACATATTCCCCTATCGCCATTATCACGAAGCTAACCACGATCAGATCAGATGGTAGGGTCGGAGCCCTTCTCATCACAAACCCTTGTTCATGGAAGAGAAGCCATCCGATGAGTTTCCGGAGCGTGCCCAGCACCCGATACGGCGATGGTGGATTGGATCAAGTCGGCCTCTACTGTTACAAAGACGGGAGATATAGATGAATATGCGCACCTCATGTCGTCCCAGCGTCTAGGCCTCGCCTGGCTGGGGCTGCAGGTTTTTTGAGACTTTTTCCCACGCACGCAGTTTCCATTGCTACCTTTTTATTTTTTTAAGTAGAAGGTTCCGTGGAAAGGTGGCCGAATTCCACGGGTGAACACTGAGCTGAATAGCTATTCATCAAGGGGAATATATCGATGATATTTCGAGTAACAGAAGAGGATATGAGCACTGTACATGGTGTGGCCTGGGTCAGAGAAGAGCCCAATGTGCTAGATAGTCATAGACTCCAGTAGTACAATAAAACACACACACACATACGCGTCAGGACTTTCTTGTGAGAGCGTAGAAAAAAAATTAAACAAATCAATTTTGATATTGAATCCGTATGTCTTCCAAGCTGCTTACCCAACTAGACTCTTAATAAAATGCAGGTCTATCCTATTGTAATAAAATACCAATTTTCGCATGTGAAGGCCGGAATAAAATCCAATCCATTATCCCTATCTCACATGCATAATCTGTAGTCCATAAATAGTATAGCCCTGTACAGCCAATACTAGGGACCATTGCCGGCAAAGACGAATTCTTCACCCTCCAGCCGTGCCAGTGTAATGGCTCAGTATGCTTTGCATATCTAGCATAGCCAAAAAGAATCACAATCGAGTCCAAGTCGAAAGCAACATCAAGCATATCTCCATTTGGCGACTTCTCAATCATGCCCATCTTGCGGTCTTGATCTGAGTCCTCCACCTCTTTCTAACCACACATCATCTCGCTTCGACGACCGATAAAGGGGTTGTTCTAATTGCAAACGGGAGCTTGCCCCACCAGTTACCAGCCAACTTGCACTACATATTAATGACAATACGTATCTCCGCAAGGAGGAAACGAAGTCATAATCTACAAAGCTCGGGGGTTGGTTAATGGGGGACCGTTGCTCTAATGGGGCTTCAAATCTTGACGGAGGATATGCAGTACAAACTTCAAATGAAAGAGGGGGGGTGATTAATGGACTTGATGCGTAAAAGGTCTAAAGAATTCTGAAGCACTCGAAAGTTGATAACTCGATAGGAATTGGTAATATTCCTGCAGAAAGCTAGTTCCCTGTCATACATTTCGTCTGCGGAGACTAGTAATAACTCCGCCCCTTGGTCATTCGAGAATACTCCTTTCTCCCCGCCTCCCTTCTTCTCCTGCACCACACTCCCCTCTGGTAAATACCCCCTTAGGTGCCTCCTCATGCGCTCCCTCTGAATTTCGGGAAGCGCTGCTCTATCACATCTTAAATTCCTAGACGGAATGATCCTAGTGACCAATCCAAATACCAATGCGGGCAAATCACATCACATGATAAGACTAATGTTTTTGAGTGGGTTTAGACTTTGGCATGTTTGTGGGCGCCAAACCAACGTCTCCGATAGTGCTACAGATACGTACGATACGAGACGCATCACGTTTGCTTCGGTGAATGGAAAGGTGAGCAAATGGCTGTGGCTACTACGGCATCAAATGACGCAAGTAAAGGTGTTGACGTAGAGATTGAGCACTTGGTTGACAATATCGCGGGGTTCAGACGAGGCGTATGGCACAGGACGTGGACATTGTGTTTATTTCTGATCCCTTTGAATTGGTTTTCTTGATAGTTACTGAGCCTCTCCGGACGGTCTCCCCGTGTCGTGTCAAATTAGACGCCGGGCCTGTATAAGAAAATGTTGGAACTGTCCTTTGCAGCTATTGATGGTGACATGAATTAAGATGATAATTTTGATTGAGATAGATTTCTAGAAAGTTTATTAGACGTGATTTACTCTGGTTCATATACCTCGAGCCAAGCAGCCAGATAGTGCTCCTCCAGATCTAGATTCATCAGAATAATTACTTACTCAGTCAAGTTCCCCTAGCCTCTGTTGTGTATTTAGGAGGTTGACTAGGTTTCTAGAAACTAGTCAATGATATTTCTCCTATCACTGAGACATAGTCATAGTTGATACAACAAGTACAGACGATGAATCATGTCTCTACATGACGGCTTGCGCCTCGTAGGTTTGAACAAGCAGCAGGCATCTAAAGGACCTTAACCATGGCGATATGCATCCATGTGAGGACTCATGACGAGTCCAGTAGCCCAGAAGCAAAACAAATGAAAACTTTCACGCATTACAAAGGAGAGACGAAACCCATCACTCTTCGATTACTCTACATCGGCCACCACACGCCCGAGTCTCGGTTCCAATCGCTCATTCCATGCTAAACCACCTATACTATCAATGTATGACCTCAAAACCGCAGTTATCCCTTACTTCTCCAACTAGTAACGGCGTGTATCCTGCTGTCCTGTACGTATTCCATGAACAGCCCTTAGCTGCTTGGCCCGGG